AGATTTGATTCATTCCGACAGTGTTGTCTAACATAGATCCAAGCTTACCTAGGTATCATCATTGACTGTCGGACCTCCGTCAGCAACAACTCCCCGAGTCAGCATCACCCGATCGGAACAAAGACAAACCAAGATACCAGCAACGAACAACAAACCGTCATAGGATCTTGAACGAACATTCATCGACTTCGAAACCAAACGACTTGACCCACCAGAGCTGCAGATTGCGAGTGATCAACCTCGGAATACATCAACGACGACGGCACTGCTATCAACCGACCATCTCCCATTCATCGCTAGCCAGGACAGAAGGAAAAGCAAAGGTGTCGAGAATGGCAACAGCATACTACTTCGCAGCACACTTCAACATGCCCAGAACGCATGCGACCGATGATTCATCGCCATTTCCTGGAAGCACGCCGAATATCACCTCACCATTCTCGTTCATCCCAGTTACGCACGAAGCAATACACGCCCAGCCTCTTGTCTCAATAGCACCAAATATAACCACAAGGGAAAGAGGCGCAACGAACCCACAGTCGACCTCAATCCTCTTCCGTCTACCGGCAGAACTCCGAAACCAAATCTACGAGGAGCTACTCTGTCCGAACACGCCGCACCACAAAGATCTCGCTACGTACTCCACGTCATCCAGACCTCCAACGGTCTACCCGGCCATCCTCCGCACATGTCGCAAGATCCACGAAGAAGCTCAAGATCTACTATATACAACACACGTCTTCCACGCCCACCGTTCCCTTCTCACGGCCCTTCCACATCTGATCTTACCCGAAAAGCCAATCTTGTCTCCAACCAGCATCGCGAAGATCACGCGCTGGCAGCTTGAGCTACGGCTAGATACCGATCCCCGGTTTACCAGTAGTCAAGCTACGGCCGCATTCTCTGGTGCGGAGTTTCTCCAGGTAAAGGTTTGGCAGAGTATGTTTGATGGGGCGGACAATTCAGTGTTGAAGCTGTTTACTGGGGTGAGGGGAGTGGGGGTTGCGAAGGTTACAGGGTGCGATGATGAGAGATTGGCGAGGTGGTTGGAGAAGAGGATGATGATGCCGATCGAAGAGGAAGAGAGCAGGCAAGGGGGATGTTGCCAGTGTGGAAAGAAGGCAGATGAGGAGATGGAGTGGTTTGGTGTGACTAGGGATGCTTGGACGTTTGGGAATAGGTAGTGAAGAGCATGATAGCAATGACTTGGCTTTCGGTTATAGTGCAGATAGTTTCCGCTTTCCAGGAGTTCGTTACGCTGGCATCACTCAATCAGACCAATGAATTTAGACTATTGTAGTTTCAAAATGGAATGAATTCAGCTTTAGCCTTACGGGTCTTTACAGCTTTCACATTGGATGTGACTATCATTCTTTTTGGATGGGTATCAAGTGTTGGAGAAAGTAACCACAAAAGAAATTCCAGAGAGTCTTGCTCTGACCAGATGAGCAGCATATCGAATGCTGACCCAGAGCCCTACGTTGAATCAAAGTGATCTACCGCAGTTCTTCCCTCTCATCCTCTTCGTCGTCCTCGATTTTGGCGCAAGGGAACGCGCACTCCATTGAGCGTTGCTGCACATGACTGTTAGCAATGTGGTCCTCGTATGTGAACCCCGAGGAATAACATACCCTGCTTCCATTCCCACTCTCCGCCCAGGAACCGGTGTTACACCATGCTTCGGGGTGCAACTTCTTGCTCCCGCCCTCCGTCGCCCATTTCAGCCCATCGTACTCAAATACCAGCGCATCTTCTCCATCGGAGCCGTAGATAGTCAACTTGGTGTCATCCACCAGTCCATCGATCTCGAAGATCTGCGTCGCAGAGACCTTCACATACGAGTTGCGCTCCGTCCGGGGTCTCGAAGAAGCGAGATCGATAGTGATTCCATTCATATGGTCTTCCAAACTGTCGACTTGGACGTAGTTAATCTTGCCATCGCTTGTCGAGGCTGGTCGGGCGGCGGTCATGAGTTGCTTGTGGAAGAGGGTGAAGGTGCACCTGTCGGCCAGCGATGTAGCGGACGACGATAGCAATGACTGTGCATCACCGCGGGGAAGAATACGCGGGGGTTGAGGAGGGAGGACGCGCGCTGCGCATAGTGAGGGCGCGAGGAAGAGAACCGAAGAGAGGATGGCGAAGGTGTTGGTGTGCATCTTGAAGACCTGCTTGCGAATGCTTTTGGTAGTATTGGGTATTTTTTTCGATGAGAAGAGGAAGTAGATTTGATGACGCAGTCAGTCAAGTGAGGCAAAGACGAGCGGATGACCGGATCCAAGACCAGCTGAAAGATGCAAGGGAGAGTGAATGCAGGTACAGGAGGCGCTGACGAGCAGGTACTCTTGTACCTTATTAAAGCATAGAGAGATTTCGTTTCAGAGTAACAACGCCGGACTACCCGCCCTTCACCCTGTCTATCTGTTCATCGCTACTATATTCGTGTGGCGATCCCGCTTGAGTACTCGGACCATGCGGCGGTTGTGCAAGGCTGATATATGCGGGGTTGCGGCACGGTGGCTCAAATAGAGTGCTCTGGCGGCAACGTCAGCGGCAAGCATCCACCCCGTGCAATGAGGTGCATCATAGAGCCGCAAGGAATGTGGGGGTCTGCAAAGAATATGTATTCATGAGGGCGGCGCGGGTTATTGCGCTGGGCAAGGTTACGTGAGATGGGCGGTGCTCGAGGGTCGAGGGGCCCAGGAAATTGGGAGCGGCGCAATGAAGTCATGATCATCGTAGAGATGGCCTTACCATCCTCAAGGCATGCGCACCTTCGAGATGCTAACAGAGGAAGACGCAGATACGTCACATCCACGCTGGCTTGAGCTCTTGACCTCGGTGTTTCAAGTCTCTGATGTTTCCTATCCACAACGAAGATCCCTTGTTCTTCAAGAGACTGCAACGTTGTTGCCTCCTTGGTCCATTGTCACCGCGCATGAGAGCATCTGTGTATCCACGGCCACACACACCTCAGAGCTCAGCAAAGTCAACTTTGTGCGCAAGTGGATGTACCGGCTTGGCCTCCGCGTGCTGAACGCCCTAGTGAGCGCCCTGGAGATTAGCGAAAGAAGGCTGGCAAAGATCCATGGATACCTACGGCTGATGCAAACGAGTCGCTGCGTCGCTTTAAAGGAATCGATATCAGTACGTTTGCCAGTTCGAAGCCTCTGTAATCATCCAGGCGGCAGCCATTGAATGCTGTTGGTAAGACATAGATGCAATACGGCTTTCGAGATAAAGCAAGGAGATTTGGGTTCGCATGGCCTCTTGTCGCAGTGTTGAGCAAGGGTTCAAATATAAGCGAGTGTTGAGGGCAACGTCCGTCTCATATTCGTACTTCTTTTTGACCAAAGCTTGAGTCTTTCAGGCCAGTGAATTTGCGCCCAGGTGCGCAACAGTCGCATGCAAATTCAGGGTCCATGGTGTTGGACGTGCGCAGGGGGAGAAAGGGCAATTTCGGGATGCCGAATCGGTAGTCGTGGGGCCGAGCGTCTCGAAGTCTGACGTTGAGCACACAAGTTGGAATTCGTCATTCTTCTCAACTCACTCACAGCCAAACACCGCCGTCGCAATGTCGCGCCCCTGCCAGCAACGGCGCGCCAGTGCGGCTGCGAACCGGAAATCCAGAGGGTCCAAGCCAACCGGACCGCCCCCGATACGACACAAAGCACGGCAAAAGGCAATACACAACGCTCGACGCAGCGAGCGCGGCGGAGCACGTGGCGGGCGTGGTGGAGGCCGCGGAGGAGGCGGAGGAGGCGGAGGAGGAGGCCGTGGTGGCGCAGGACGGGGTGGGCGAGGCGGAGGACGTGGCGGACGTTTTGCGCAGAAGAATGGCAGGAACGAATCGGGCCAAGACTTCATACCTCTCTCCTCTGGTGGCAACAACTTCGAAGCCCTCTACAGGTCCTCACGCAACGACGACTTTGATCTCGACATGGACGGCGACAGTTCCGACTCAGACCAATTCGGCGATGAGTTGCTCGACGGCGACATGTATGAGGCCGAGGATATCGAGATCAACGTGCAGGCGCCACTGCCCACGACCGGCCGGGGAATACAACCACAAGCGGATATAATGTTTACGGAGGCAGCCGCCGTCGCAGTATACAGGCAGCTCTATCTGCGCGATTACCCACTCAGTACCTCAACCACGCGAGTGCGCTACGGTCTCTACCAGGAGGACACCTCTGCCGATTCGGCCGCATACATCTCCCACGCACCATTCACAGCATCTCGCCGATCGAGCGTCATCAGCATCAGCAGCGACACAAGCGAAGAGTCCACGGATGGACCGACAACACCTGAGTACAATCCGGGACGCGACTACGTCTTCACGTTCGGTATGCACAAGGGCAAGCGGTTCACCGATGTGAACGAAAACTACATCAAAATGATCGGTGGTCAGTTATACAAATACAGGGACAGAAGACATGGGTGCCTTTTGGAGGCATTCGAGTACCACAGGCCGGGGCAGGCACGTCTTCAGCCAGACCACCCTCAAACCCAACAGACACAAGCTCAGCTATCGCAGCCACGACAGCCTCCCACACGGAACGCACAAGGGTCTCGATCGAACGCTCTTTCGGCATCAGACACATGGAGATTCCACAAAGGGATTCACCTGGGCAAGCGACTACACGACGTGCCTGAAAACTACCTACGAACACTAGAGGGCAATCCCCTGGTCAGAGACGCCTGGCCTGGCTTCAAACAAGCACTCCAGGACTTCAATGCCAAGACTGGTAGAAAAGGTCGGGTTTGATCACACAATAGCCGTACAATAGCTGCTACCACGTGGTTGCGCCTTCTACGAGCGTTTGTTGGTGGTCCAAGCGGCAATTTTGGGACTCACCTCACCTGGGTGACTTACAACTTGCAGAACCATCGCAACTCACTGCGACTGCGACCTCTTGGTCTGAACTGTCTGAATGCGAGGGCTTTTCCCGTACTACACACTATAACGTCTCACCAATAACGATACTGCACCTCGCTTCACCATGGCGCGAACCAAGAAACGTGCGCGAATGGATCCCGAATTGTCGCAGTCTCAGCCACAGCTTCATACCAAGCGACAGAGGGGACCGAACGCCATGACAGCGCAAGCGGAAGAGGGGGCCGACGACACTACTGCGACAGACGATGTGCGATATATGAGAACGCAGCCAAAGGCCCAGGCACCTACCGAAAGCTCCCGAGCCAAGTCCTTTCCCAGTCAGACGTCTGAAGTCATTGACTTGACGCTGAGCGACGAGCTCGACGATGTATTCCCCGCATATTCGTCCAGGTCAAAAGCTCTCCAGGATCACGCCGAAGAGCAGCGCCACTCAAAGTACGCTCTACAGAACAAGACGACCGGAAAACTTGGCGAGCGCTCTCTAGGTCAATCCAGCGGCGGGCAGGGTACTGAAATCAACGAAGGCGAAGAACGATGGGCCATTCCCTCACTATCTGCAGATGTCCTTGCCCAGCGGCGCCAACAAAAGAAACAGGAGAGGAAGAGGCAGAGGAAGGAGGCGGCCATTGACGTCATAAACGCCCAACGCTCCTATGCGCCGGTCATGTTCACCCTCTCAGAGGCAGTAGCCTTTCTCTGGCAACCCCAGCTAGCGATCACCTACGATCTTCCGACTGGCGACTATGTACCTTGTCAGTAATATTCCTGTACGAATTGTATGTGAGACAAATACTGACTTTCTACACTCATCTTTAGATCCCGTTCATAGGTCATACCACTTGGGCGGTATGGGTCGGTACGAAGATACTCGTGCTGCTATGCATACAAGTCTGCCCTATCGTCCTTCCGGCGCTGGCGGACGCGGCCCTCGTGCGGTTGACCGTAGGTCAGACCGAACAGAGGCTCACGGTCGCTCCGCTTGATCTCAGGGCAACAACACGCGCTGGCCGATTGCGATGAGTAGGAATTGGGTCTTTTTGATTGAATTTTCACCACGGTCGCACTAGGGGAATAAGCATGCTCAACCGCGGGAATCATGACTGCCTTGGTATGACTGCCTTGGGTCTGGACATGATGTGACGCTTCAGAGATGAATTCGATGCTTGGTGGTGGAGAAGCAGCCCCATATATCAGAAAAACAATCTAAAACATACACCTCAATTGAACATACACGTGACGCTTGTTAGAAGTCAATTGAGCCTACGACAGACGGACGGTAGATGCATCAAGGTGCTATCCACCCGACACAGGTCATGGGCCAGCGTATCCAGGGCTTATGCTCCGTTGGCAGAGCTTCGAAGATTCCACTCATAACATGGTGTGTCCACCCTCTCATATACCAGAATCTTTCCATGTCGTGCATCAGAACGACAAAGTGCGCGTAGATGATGAGTGGCAGCGGATCGCATTCTTGGAGGCGATCGAGGAAGTCATCGCTCATTCGGTAGAGCCATCCAAACGCCACATGGTATTCACCGTCCTTGCCACCGTAGCGATTCGAATACATCTCCTGGAGGACGTCCACGCTGAGCACATTGTCGTCGCGATCAGAAGGCTCAGACGCGATACCGATGTGTTCTTTCAGCTCTTCAAGATGCCTTTCGAACTCGAATGGCCCGTCTGTTACTGGTAAAAGCCGACTTTTGTTACGGACTGCCGGTGCATGTGTCTTCGCGAAGTTGTCGATCTCAAAGGCACCGAGCGTCGTGCGGATACCACGAAACATGACCAGCCACTCCGATCTACCGTGCTTACCGAAAGCAAGGTATTCACCAGCCTGCGGTCCTCTCGCCCAACTGACAAAGCAAATCAGTTGGACAGATTGAAGGACCGCATCGCAGTTGGCGGGGTTGAGTTTGGCTATTTCTGGAGTGACGAGTGCTAGCGCGCATTCGTAGTGATGGTTTGCAGTAGCAGTATAGGATTCTTTGCGGTCTGGCCGGCATGACGCGAGATGGAGAGCGGTGAACGCGAATATGAGGTGCAATACATGTTCATTCTTGAACGCGATTTCCTCTGTAGACGATTGTACGCGTGCAGCACCAGCAGGCCATGCTGACAACGAGTGGCATGTAGTCGTCGTCCAGTGATATGTGAGTTCGATCTCAGATAGTGGAAGGCCGCCGGGTTGTCGTAAATCGTTGATTGCTGGAGCGGCAATAGATGTTGCCGGGTACTCGCAGCGGACTTGCCGCCGTTTGCAATTGGTACAGAATGGTTTACCCTCATCGCACTAGGTATTGCATTAGCACGTTGAGCGTAAACTTTATCTCTCAACGAGAGCTCCTGAGGTCGGCATGCTGTACACAAAAACAAACCCACAGCCTTGTTCAAGAGGGACATCGCATATGTCTCCGAGATACTCAAGTACTATCTAGGTACGTACCTTGATGCGACGCGTTTTGCAATGAACACATCCAGCCCGCGACTTGCGATGAGATTTCCTCGTTATCTTTGACGTTCTTGTCGTAACTTTCCCATTTTGCTCGTATGGAGAGCTTTCCCGTGAATTCAGGAGAGACCCTCCCCTTGAAGTTGATGTAGCTTCCGTCAGTGGCGAATCCTGTTGCATGTTGGTGTTGCTGATGAAGATGTTGAGACGCCAGAATGCGTATTCTGAGCGAGCAGCGCGTATTAAGAGAGACCACAGCCGCTAGCGGCATACATCATCGCTTCTAGCGTGAACACCTTCCGCGAGGGCTGCGCAATGCCGCAAGCATCTCCAGCACAGGAAAACTCCGAAAACTGACCTGACTGACCCCTTCCCAAAGCGTCACCTAATTACGAGCTTTTTCGTGGCTCAAGGTCCCACGATCAGTGTAGCGGCGTCGCATTGATCGTTGCTGATCCGACGCGGGTTCTTCCCTCCGATGTTGACGCTAGTGCGCCAGTCTTCGTATTCGCTCGTGTTCTCTTAGGATACGCATTTTCCAGGAACGAATGTCTGGCACACCTATCAGGCTCCACTTAGCAGAACTAAATAAAGTATGTTATCGCGAAAAGTTCTTTCTCATGTAGTGCGCCGAGTTTAACCCAATCTAGCCGCGTCAGCACTCGGAATGTATATAACCTCAGGCTGACCCGCTGCTGTGCTCTGAGCTAAACCGTCTTTACGCTTCTCTACACGACGTCGACTACAAAGTTTCCTACTTCCACTCGAGCGAAGCAACTGCAATGGGTCAACCAAAGGAGACCGAGCCTGTCTACAACAAGCCATCCACAATTTCTTCATCGGCCTCATCGACCCACTCGATACCATCCGTACCACCACCGCCCTACTTCAAGTCGCAGTTCATCTCTCCGTCCTCGTTCAAGTCCGCAGTAAATGCCAAACTCGACAAGCCCGCCGTATCCCTCTTCCGTCTCAGCATCCGTATCTTCCAACTCGCTTTCGCACTCGCATCGGGCATATCCTACGCCATCGAACTGAGCCATGCAACAAGCACTTCGAAGACGGACTTCATATTCGCGCAAGTTGTTTTCGGCCTTACCCTGTTGGTGCTAGTCATCGATAGTGTAACAGTACGCAACTACCGTGTCACTTGGATCCCGGAATGGATCTTGGCGGTCTTATGGATTGCCTCTTTCGGCCTCTTCTATACGATCTATTCAAGCGGGGACATCGAGCAGGGGTACCAGAACGTGGATGTGGGGCGCATGAAGAGAGCCGTGTGGTGCGACCTCATCAACGCGCTGCTGTGGATGGGAAGTGCACTATTCTCTTCAGTAATGTGCTGCTCGGGTATCAAAGCCACTATCAAGGCAAAGATGGAGAGACGAAGACAGAGAAAGGAGACAAGGCGGCAAGTAAGGGAGGTTAGTCAGATGGAGCAGGGCGTTATTGACGCATGATGTACAAATCACAGAGCGGGATATAATATGAGAAGAGGACGCATATCGATTACTAGTACTAGCGAAGGACATGCATACTTGGTATATAGCAAAATCATCCAACCACCATCATCCCACATCAATCAAAGCAGCAATTATATACACACGAGAGATCAAATCATCTACTGGGATGATCGGACCTGCTCAATGCGGACGTTGTCATCCTTCTCGTAGCCGGAAGTCATGACGTTCTTCTCAACGTGCTCAATGTCGATGTGAGCAACCTCAGCCTCATCACCATCGAAGATCTTGGCGACCTCCTCAAGAGTGGGACCACGGGTCTCGACGTAGAAGACAGTGACGAAGATGAGCTCGAGGAAGATCCAGCACTAGTTTTAGTTAGTAAATAGTTCATCCTAGAGATTGTAGTTGCAAGACTTACGGCGTAGATAGTGTAGAACTTCCAGGTAGGGTGAAGGTTGTCGAATCCGAGAGGGTTGACGTATTGGTTGATGGTCAGGGCAATCTGAATGAACAAGTTCATGATCATGAGACCCTTGGCACGAATCTTGAAGGGCAGAATCTCGACAGTGTAGGCGACAAGCAGACCAGACCAAGCCAGCGCGTAAGCGACGGAGAAGATCCAGATCATAGCAATGACGGCCTGACCAGCAGCCTTGCTCTTGGTAGCCTCCTGTTGAGACGAAGCGATAGTCCAGACGATGAAGGTGACGCACATGGCTGCGGTGGCAGAGATGAAGAGTGGGCGACGACCAACGCGATCAACGAGGAGAGCGCATGAGACGGAGACGATGAGAGAGAGAATGGTAAGACCACCGTTGATACCGAGCTGGGTGTCAGCGTCTGTGATACCAATGGATTTGTAGACATCGGTGGCGTAGTAGGAGACAAGACCGTTGCCAGACCATTGGGAGAAGAGACCGAGAGATGCGAGGAGCATGAGCCTGTACCTGTTGCCCTTGGTCTTGAAGAAATCGAAGTAGGAGGAGGTCTTCTGGTACTGGAACTCGAGGCGGAGAGTCTCCTTGATCTCAGCAAATTCGAATTGGACGGTAGCGTTGTTGGCATCGCCGTTGGCGTGGTACTTGGCAAGAATGGCAAGAGCCTCCTCGTTCCTCTCCTTGGCGATCAACCAACGTGGGGACTCAGGGATGAACCAGATAGCGGCCAACTGAATGACGGAAGGAGCAGCCTGGGTAAGAGCGGGTACACGCCAGCACCAGTCGCTCTCAATGCGCTTGGTACCGAAAGTCAACCATGTGCAGATGATGGCACCAACGTTCCACAAGCAGTTGTAGACGGCGGTGACACGAGCACGATGCTGAGGGTGGCAGAGTTCGGTAAGGAGCAGGGGAGACGAGAGTTGAGCAAGCGAGTTTCCGAAACCCATGAGGAAACGTCCACCCATGAAGTAGTCGAGGTTCTTAGCGGCGGCCTGGATGGAAGCTGCGATAATCATGATAACACATCCGAAGGTAATGCAGGCGCGACGTCCAAAGCGATCGGCAACGAAGGGAGCGACGGGAAGCGAGGCAATCGAACCGATGGAGTAAAGAGCAGTCAAGAGACCGAGAGTGTCTCCCTTTGGGTCGCCGAAGAACTCCGTCCACTTAGGCAGAATACGAAGGTTGTTCAACATGGAACTGGAGTGGGTTAGCTTTGGTCAATTGGATAACAGTAATGGGAAGACTTACCCATCGTAACCTGTGGTCGCAGAAGCGATACAGATGAAGAAGGCGTAGAAGTAGAGCTTGCGGAGACCGGCGTCGGACCTCCAGTTGACTTTCTTGAGGTGAGGAGCTTCAGCCTGAGCAGCTTCGACGTCGGATCTGCTCTTCGCAACGGCAC